AAAAAAAAAAAAAAAAAAAAATGAACTCAACTACGATTTTGGTCTACCCTTAAATTCAGCCATTGAAGGTCCAAATTCAACCAATCCGACCATATTCATATCAAACGAAGATTTAAATCTCAAAATAAAATCTAACAATTGAGAGCAACCAGAAGAATAAAACAATCTACTAGAAGAAATTAATAGTTTAATACATAGATTATAATCTCATGTCAAATTACACTTCTAAATTTACTTAAGTAAAGGTCACAGTAATCAGATAATTTCACCATAACAATCACAAACATAAACCAGTCGCAAGTAATTTCCAGCAACGTTGATTTAAAAGAAAGTTAAAAAAAAAAAAACAAAAGTTAACTCAGTATGATTCATACAGGTGAAGTTAAACATACTTCAAGATAGAACAAGTTCAGAGCATAGTAAGCCGAAGTGAATCTCTCTTGGAATCTTTAAGAAAAAGGTGGGTTCTTTTTCTTCCCCTTAGTTTTTATCGGGGTAAGTTCTTAAATCAAAGCTAAGCTATCAAGACTAAAACTTCAACGACTATAACCTGTTAGCACATTAACAAGATTATTAACTTGTAGATGTGGTCGTATCAATAGAGGTGGGCTAGAAAGATTTCTAGAAATGACAAAAAAATTTCTTTTTTTATATATATGTAATCTTTTAATTGTAGCAATTAAAAGGAAACAAATTAGGGAATAAATTCCAACTTTAAATTTATGTGTTGTTATTCAAAATAGTGGCAACTATACACGAAAGCAAAGGTGGGAACTTACTTGTCGAAGCCTTTCCGTTTAAGTGGGAGCAGAGCATGAAGCTGATTCGGTCAAGTTGAGTAATTTCTTCATCCCACTCTCCCACGATCGACAAAGTAATTTAAGTCTACCATGAAAATGTACTATGTTCCACAGTCCCATAGCTCTTTAAATGACAAGCGATTCCTTCCAATACTGAATATATCACTCTGTTTTTTGGATGTGACTTGTCACCCTTGCGAAATTCATGAACAACACCATCAACTTCAATCAAACTACATCCAGGAGTTTTCCTCATCTTCTTACTTTTCATCTTCTTTCTTAATTTCAATGCATCTTTCCATCTATGAGCAGAAGAATATAAATTAGTCATAAGAATGTAATTACCATCTTCACCAGGATCTAAATTCATCAACTTTTGCATCACACTTTCCCCGAGGTTGACATTTCCATGAATCCTGCAAGCCCCTAAAAGAGCTCCCCAAGCGAAGGCATCTGGCCTGATTTCCATGCTGTGGATAATCTCTTCTGCTTCCTTCACTAAACCTGCACGCCCAAGAAGGTCAATCATGCAGCCATAATGCTCCGCTTGAGGTCTAAGCTTATATGTATTCGACATGTCGAAAAAGCACTTCTTGCCATCGGAAACTAATCCACTGTGGCTGCAAGCCATGAGAAGACCTAAAAATGTTACTTCGTTTGGCTCAACACCTTCTCTTAACATCCTGGAGAAGACCTGGAATGCCCAGTTTGCTTCACCATGCAAGGCCAGCCCAACAATCATGGCTGTGTATGAATATACATCCCTTCTTTTCATGCCCTCAAACACCCTAAAAGCTTCGTCTATTCTTCCACATTTTGCATACATATCAAGAAGTGCATTCCCAACAAATTTATCAGCCAAAATATGATTTCTACGCATGTATGCATGAACCCACTTACCCAACTCAAGAACTCCAAGGTTCGCACAAGAGTTCAAAACCCCTACTAACGTAACCTCGTCTGGCTTGGGCCCTGTTCTTTGCATCCTACGGAACATGTCCAGAGCTTCCTTGTACCGGCCTTGATAAGCCAACCCCAAAATCATAGCATTCCAAGTAACCACATTTCGCACAGGCATTTCGTCGAACACTTTGTAAGCAGAGTTCGAATCATCACATTTCAAGTACATATCTAACAAGGCATTGCCAACAAATACATCTGCATTCACGTCAATGTAATGGTGGATATAGGAATGCACTTTCCGACCCAAATTCAGGTCTCCCAAATTGGAGCAAGCAGAGAGGACAACCACCAGAGTCCGCCCATCAGCCCTTAGCTTCAGATCACACATCTCCATAAAAGCTCCAACCGCTTTCCTATAGAGCCCAGCCTTGGTAAACGCTTGAATGAGCGTGGTCCAAGACACCAAATCCCGGTGAGGACATTCGCCGAACAACTTCTGCACAGCGTCGATGGAGCCGCAGACGGAATACAATCTCATCAACGTGTTACACACATAAACATTGAATCTCACCAATCCAATCTTAATGGAATGAGCATGAATCTGCTGGCCCTCTCTAATCCTCTGAATCCGAGCCAGAGCCTTGAGAACATGCGGCAATGTGAACCCATCCGGTTGGACGCCAATCAGAAGCATTTCCCTCAGGAATTCCATGGCCCTGAGACCAGTGGAATTAGTACTCTCGCCATTGGAGTTCGCAGAAATTCTGTGAATGAAGGCGTTGCAGAGATTGAGGCGGAATTGCGCATCGGCCGAAGAGGTGAGAAGGATGGAGCGGATGTAGAAAAGGTCGGGGGAGGGGGAGGAGGAGGAGAGAGAAATGAGTTTGGGAAAGAGGAGTTGATTGTGGAGAGAGAGAGAAGGTGTTTTAATGGCGACGGCATGGAGCTGCTTGAGATGAGCAATGGATGTGCAGGAATTGAGGCTGTGGGGGAGAAGACGGAGTTCTTGGGAATTCATACACGGATAAGGTAGTGCCGATGTATTGTAATGGTACGCGCCAATGCCTCCTAATATTTAATCAATATTACATAAAATATTTACAAATTTTGTTTTTCTTTTATTAATTATTTGAAAAATTCGTTTATATTGATTTAAATATTTGAACATATAGCCAAATTTCAAAAAATAAAATAATTTTGTTAAAACTCATTTTTAATTTTCAAATTTTAGCTTGTGTTTTTTCATAAAACATATGGAAAAAACCAAAAAAAAAAAAAACGTAATTTTAGTTTAAAATTTCTAACAGTTGTGTGTTATAAATCTTACAAATTCATTTGATAATTATTTAGTTTTTAGATTTTTGTTTTCAAATTTTAAATAATAAACAAGAAAATAAAAGAAATTCCAAATATAAAAACATATTTATAGGCTTAATTTTTCAACTTTCCTTTTCCTTCCTTGCACAACAAACTTCTTTTGGATTGGATTAAGTTCCGTTCAATTCAATTTTTCATATCTTTTCAATACAAATCAAACAAAATCAAAGATTTTTTATTTTTTGAAATTCATAATTAAGATGGAAAAGCGAACCGAACTAGCCAATTCCTACTATCCAGACACAATCATCAAAGTTCATAGACGAAAACTATAATTTAATCAAGAATCGAATACAAATATAGTATTCAAAGTTTCAAATAATAACCTAAGGATGCTATCACTTTGTATACATGAGAGATCTTTCTTTCTTCATCACTAAGCATGTGTGTAAAACAAGAACACCAAGAATATCAATGGTAGTCAAGAGCTAAAAGGTGTTGTTTGGTAGCAGCAAGAGTAGGAAGCTTTACCCTTAATGGATGAGTTTGAGACGTTTGAGGAGAGAACACAATGCACATACTTCCATCAACTTCTCCCTCTGTATCATACAGCTTCTGTCCTGCACCATATCTTCCAAGCAATTCATATGATCTCTCTGAACCCTCCATTGTAACGCACACATTCTCATCACCTGCTTATAATCCAAACACAATCATACAATGATGTGTTCATGACAATGGTGAATCAAGTGACCATATTTGTATCAAAATCAACAACAACCAATTCTAGTTTCAGAACAATCGTTGTTAACTACTTAGACTATATATATAATTCGATTACTGCTAAATCAATTTTCAGAGAAATGATTGGAGTTGTAATGGGGAAAAAAGGTGAAAGAAAAGAACTCACAGGCAGCTAATTCGATCTGGGTCAGGTAAATGAAGTCCAAAACTGCAGAAATCTCCCTCTCAAAAGTATGGAAAGGGCCATTTTGAAACTCCATCTTCCGCAGCTTACACAGTCCCTCTCCAAGCTCCATCATCGCCCCTCTATGATTCTGAGCCAAAACAACAACAAATTCACAATCACGACTAACTCCATTCCACAAAAATCAAACACACAGCATCGAAATTACCAAATGAAATAACGTTAAATTTCAAACCACGAACCCGATTAAAGAGATGATGAAGTCCCACGGCGCACTGGAGAATGCCATGAATTAGTGTTCTGGTAGGATCCTCGGCTCCGTTCCACAGAATCTCAAGAACGTCGTGGCAGTCGTAATAAGCTCCTTGGTTGAAGAGATCGACTGCTTCGTCGAAGCTGAACTCTCTAGCGATTTGCTCGTCTTCGTCTTCGTCTTCGTGATCGACGGCGAATCGGTAGGAGGTGCGGAAGGAGAGCGATGTTGTGGTTTTTCCACGTCTAAAGGTGTTTCTTGGAGGGGTTGGGAGGCTGCTTCCATGGCGGAAAAGGGAGTTCGAATGGCGATGAGGTGGGAGAAGGGATGGAGCGGAGGAGGAAACACAGAGGGATGGAAGAGAAGCCATTGGTGATTAATTGCAGAAGCTTGGAGAATTGGAGCCATTTCTTCGGTTTGGTGTGATTTTTTTCTTTTTGGGATGGACGTGGTTTCGTGCGCGGGTGTGGCTTTGAACTGGTGGACACCCATTTTTTAGGGGAAAAAGATATATCTAAGTCGACCAAAGAAATGTAGATATTTTATTTTTGTATTAACCTTTGTTATCATTTTCCCACTAATCAATTCAATAATTTCTCCAATTAATTTTTTAGGGGAAAAAGATATAGTTAAGATAATAGTAAAAAAGTGATGAGCAAATAGAGTCCAGATTTGTGATGCTAATTTGGGGGGAGACATAAACTTGGAGAAATCAAACATCAAATCCTCGAAACTTTAAAAGAAAAAATGAGAAACCAATATGCATCCGTGTGTTTCAAGCCGAGAGCCAGCAAAACTGCCTCTTAATGTGGCCGAGTAAGCTTGCGTACGATTGCACGGAGGAGCTATGAAAGTTTATGCGTGCATTTCAGCTTCAACGGGGCCGAGACGAATTACCTACAGTGTAACAATCAACGACAATTATCCATAATAATTCTAAATCATAGTTCAAAAATGGTTAAGAGAACAGTAAAAGCTACTAAGTCGAACACGAATATATCTTTCATTTTCAATTCCTGGTCTCAACGATTCGTTGAAGAATACAACCAGTTGGATGCAAAATTTCCACTTCGTTACACATGAAGACACCTTAAATTTATCCGGTTCTTGTTTTTATATTTATGTTCCCACTTTTTTTCTACATATTGTTAGTCACAGCACCAAATAAGTACAATGTGTTGAACACAACTCTATGTGGAGAACGCGCACACTGTTTATTAATACCAATCAAGAAGAGACTACAACACACACGGTAGAAATCACCGCACTTTGTGGGAGTGCTTTATATTTCTTGGAATGAAAACCTAGGTAAGGTGAAAGGGTATTTATAGTAGAGACTAGACGATCTATTCCTAAAATATTAAGGTATCTTTATTCCTAACATACCTAAATCATTTTACTAAAATGAATATACAATGAGCTCATACAATTACTGAGTTTGACCCTATTGGACTAGTGATGATATTTTAACACGATGTACAGAAGTAAACAAAAACGAGGTGAGCAGAAAGAAAGTGAGACCTTAGCAATCACATCATTTCCTTGTCATGGGCGATTCCAAGCTTCATTTGGAAGCGCGAGGCTATTATCTTCAACTCGATGTACCCGGTAGTGGAAATAGATAAATTGTATTAGTATCTGAAGAAGTTAAGGTTTCTAGTTTCTGCAGAGTCAAACCACTGAAGAGTAATAAAAGTAGAGCATTAACAAGGTCCTACATGTTTAAGAAACGCTAAAAGAAAAATCTACAATAGATTATATCTTCAAGCATGTGTCATATATTGATAATGAGGATACAAATGTGTCGAGAAGAACACATCCAAATGCATCTACTAGCCATGGAAGATTTGGTTTGATCTTCCACCAGCTTGTACTGCTCACAAGTATACTATAAAAAAACAAGATAAATAAATCGAAGAAACTATTATGAATTGATTCCAATACCTTCAAAAAGAAGAAAATGGGCCACAAGGAATTACGATTGAAGTTCACGAACTATATGATTCTTAAAGGAACTTTGAATAAAGAATAGACCATATTCACCTCGCTACATAAGTGGAATTTCCAATTAAAGCAAAAATGAACATTAAAGGACTAAGACCCTGCACAATAATTGAAAAATATTAGTGAATCCAACTACAAATAACAGCATGTAACTCATTAAAAATTGTAAAGGATGAACCAAAGTTACAAACTACAAGTCCACGCTAAGCTAATTTCACAACAATTATCTTTACCTCAACATGTCCTCTTCTTATCTGCAAAAGTTAACAAACAACCAAGAGTCAATTACCTTATAACCACACAGATTCAATTTCTATTATTTGGACTCTCAAAGAAAACCACATGCATGCTAATCAAATCTTACACCAAAAAGGTTGCATATATACAACTTCCTAATTTTCTGGTGGAAACAGAGCCCTGCATCGACTTGGTTTCATGTAAGCCAATTGTCGCTATGGACCAGACTATGTATGAGAATTTTAGCGCAAGTTTTTCTAACAATGGATCAATTCATGCTTGGTAAAGAAGATCTTACATTCAAGCAAATTTGAGGAAGTCGCCCACCCATATATATAAATGCCATTGCCCAACCAAGGTAAGTTCCAATTCCACTGCTTCCTTCACTGCCATTATTTTGCAACAGCTCGCCAGTAACCTGGAATTTCAATAGCACTCAATGATTTATTATGCCTCCACTCAAATATCAAATATTGAAAATCGCCTTAGAGTCAACTTTCAAGCCAAATGATGCAAAAAGGTAAAATATGAAATGCACATCATACATGCAGCTGCCTCATAGTAGAACGATATACAAAAAAGAAACATGAAGACAAGCTTCTGGAGTATGAATTACTAGGTTTCTTAGCAGTTTTTATGCAAACTTCCAATTAACATACATGTAAAACTAAGTTCATGTTGGCCTACCTGTAAAAGCTTTCTACCTACTGGTATGACAAATCCTTTATTCGGATTATCTGAGACACTACGAAATCTGTTTTCTGCAAATTGATGGAGACTGAGTGTGCCAAAGAAAGTCAACATGAAGACCTGGTGATGGAAGTGCAAACTATTATTACCTGTAATTATAAATTACGGACAATTGGTACCAAGAATTATATAATAAACCTTACCACAGACAGCATATTCTTGACATTGGGAGGTGTTGAAGATGGTGATGGTGATGGTTCATTTCCATCAAGCAGCGGCTCTTGCAAGGGGTTCTGAATATAAGGAGGAGTCATTTTTTGTGTTAAAAAAGACCCTGTTGTGGGAGTATGACTCCACGATAGAGATCTTGCTGACCTAAGTATTTACAAATAAACGAGAGAACATAATGACCAGGGAAACATACCACATAATGAAGAATAAAAGATATACAAAAGGAGTAAGGCTAGAAGTCCCTAGTGAAAGACAAAAGAATTGATAATTGCCCAATGTTTATAGGCAAACCAGCATTGTATGAAGAGATGGTCAATGTCTACCTACTAGCAAGGCAATTTATACAAATTTGAGAAGCAATGCATGAAGTACCAATTTTATTTGAAAACTTAGCACCCCAAGTTCTCTTCTACTTCTTACGGATGAGAACTTAATAAATCAAAGGTAGTTTGACCTTATAAAATCGATATATTAAGTAGATTACAAATTAAATAAAACACTTCTTTGAGTTCCAAATTATATTCAAGGGAAGTGATTACGTAGTCCCTTGTTTAGTGGGAATAGAATTAGACTAAGTTATGACATTACATTTCTAAATTGCTAATTTTGAAGGTTACTAAAGTTATAACTTCAAGATTGCAGGCTAAAATTATCTAAACACAATTGGATTATTGTGATTTTTATGCGATACAGGTCTAAAGCAGGAAGCTGGACAGTCAAAGGAGAAAATATTTACGTGAAGTATAGCTCTCTTCCCAGGGAACTATTTCGTCGAGGCATAGGAAGAGGCATAGGACTAGTGGAACCATTCTCTCTTCCAAAAGTGTTGAACTTGTTCATGTCATCGTCATTGTTGATTTGCTTAACATCAACACCGCCATAGCTTTGTTGGACTTTATCACATGTATCAATCTGTGCATTGGCATCACGATGAATAAGAAACTAAGGCATGTAGTAGATTCACAAATAACAATATGGCAAACATATACAAAAAAGAACCTAAGGCATTCAGTAGATTCACAAATAGCAGTATGGCAAACAAATATAACAAATCTTTGCAGAAAGAGCCTCATCTATACTGTACATCTTACCTTGCTTAATAATGTTTTATGATTATTTAGAGCATTAAAGCCCAAATGAGAACCGAAAGAAATGGATTAAAATATCATAACATTTCAGTGTCAATACATGGGCTATGTGATTGAAATACAAAGACAAATTTAAAAAAAAAAAAATTGTGTAGATGCTAAAACATCCTAGAGGGAGGTTTAAGCAAGCAAGCATGTCTTTACCCTTCTTTTGGAAGTTAAGGGTGTGGAGCCACACTTTCTATTTGAGATGATTCGGACCATTTGAGGTGACAGAAACTAGCGTTCTCAAAAGAAACTACAGTTTTAATTGAGAAGGAAAAATACACCAGTATTAACTGGAAATTATTTCCAGCCCATATATATGTGGGTAAGTGAATATGTATATGTAGTATAATAGCATATATGTATCTATACATACAAATTTAAGTGTATATGTAGAGTCATAGATAAGCAACAAGTGATAAATAGGAAAAGAGAATGTAAAACCTTGCACTGTCTTCGATGATCTTTCATTCGAGGATATATGTACCCATAGTATATGGTCTGTGTAGTCAGAATCAGTGTTGTGATCGTATACAACTGTACACCAGCATGATAGTGATTTCCACCAATATCAAAAGAAAAAAAATATTTGGACAGAGAGTTTAAAAAAAATTATTTCAAAACCTTAAAACCATACCAATGCCATGTAATATTGAGTTGGAAGCTGCATAAACAACCAGAGAAGGTTAAAAAAAAAGTAAACATGTAGGATCTTGACAAGATAAATCTCTCAAAATTTTTATTTAAAGAAAAACATGAAAAAGCCATCATGAATTGATCCTTATTCACAGCTTCAGATAGATAGTAAAACTTGTATAAGCTCAAGTGACACGATTTCACTGAGTTATGCAAACATGCCAAGCGATATGACAATGACTTGATAACCATGAGAAATGTCGTTATTTGGATGGGGCTTTATTTGCTTAGATAAACAATTACAGATATAATCATTGTGGATTTATCTTGTTGGAATATGCAAATGAAAAGAAAGGCATTAAATTGTTTAGATTTTAGAGCACTTACTGTTGCTGGTTCGAGTATGCAGCCAAAGACATTGAAAAGATCTCTGCAAAAAAAAAAAAAAAAAAAAAAAAATT